AATACGGTTTTTGTTTCCTTAGAATTTTTACTCGTTCAATACCTTAAAATATACTAATAAACATTACACTTCTTCCACACACACTTGGCATGTATAAATTGATACACATTATATAAACTCCCTCCCCCAACATTTCACCTTAAAATAAATTGATAAATATTCTATATTTTCCATACGCTTCATGGTGAATTAAACTGAGAGAAATATTAATGTATACCCGAGAATATAATCCTCTCTTTGTGAAAAACAGAAGAAAAAACCTGACGACTGCGCATTATGCAAATCCTTTTATAATGTTTCAAATGACGAGTAATTTTTCTCTTTCCTCGACTTTTAATTGTTGATGTTTTGCCATTAGTGGTATTATCCTTCACTTTTTTGTATTACTAAGTTGTTTAATATATGAAGCGATTTAAACAAAGAATTTAGTACCTGTATTAGTGAGGTTTTCAATTTCTAGTTTCTAATAATAATAATAATAATAATAATAATTAACGGTTTATTGAAGAGCTTGGCAGCCAGAAGGCTGAAAATATACAGTTACATATTTGGGGAATGGGTTACGAATTACAAATAATATACAAGTAACATAAGTGACACAAATAAGACATATAATAACTAGATGGGGAAAAGCTCAAACTACAGTTCATTTCAACATAGTGACAGTGTAAGGAGCAGTGTTTACTGGGAGTGAATACACTGATTTATTACATGTTATTGATAATCTTTACAATGGTTGGGACTGGGCTGTTCTTATAGCGATCAGTTCGTGCACGTATGGGCTGGATGCGGTTGTGGTGTCGAACAGCAATTCTCAAGGGATCAGGTGGTAGTAGGAGCCGGTGTCGGGGATGGTGTAAACTTCTTACCAAATTTGCAGATGAGGTCGTGGTGATGGTCAGTGAGAGTCAGGGTCAGTGTGTTGAATGCTTCTTGATATGTGGAGTAGGAAGGGAGAGAATAATCTTGCATGCCCTCTTTTGCACTTTTTCTAGGTGTTTACGTTGTGTGGCATTTAGGGAGGAAGACCAGGTGGGGAGGCATAGGTGAGCTTGAGGAAGTATGAATGTTGTGTGTGTGTGGAGGAGTGAGTGAGTGAGTGAGTGAGTGAGTGTGTGTGTGTGTGTGTGTGTGTGTGTGTGTGTGTGTGTGGAGGGAGTGAGTTAGTGTGTGTGTGTGTGTGTGTGTGTGTGTGTGTGTGTGTGGGAGTGAGTGAGTGAGTGAGTGTGTGTGTGTGTGGGAGTGGGGAGTGAGTGAGTGAGTGTGTGTGTGTGTGTGTGGAGTGAGGAGAGAGTGAGTGAGTGAGTGAGTGTGTGTGTGTGTGTGTGTGTGTGTGTGTGTGTGTGTGTGTGAGTGTGTGTGTGTGTGTGTGTGTGTGTGTGTGTGTGTGGAGGAGTGAGTGAGTGAGTGTATGTGTGTGTGTGTAATAATAATAATAATAATAATTAACGGTTTATTGAAAGAGCTTGGCAGCCAGAAGGCTGAAAATATACAGTTACATATTTGGAGAATGGGTTACGAATTACAAATAATATACAAGTAACATAAGTGACACAAATAAGACATATAGTAACTTAGATGGGGAAAAGCTCAAACTACAGTTCATTTCAACATAGTGACAGTGTAAGGAGCAGTGTTTACCGGGAGTGAATACACTGATTTATTACATGTTATTGATAATTTTTACAATGGTTGGGACTGGGCTGTTCTTATAGCGATCAGTTCGTGCACGTATGGGCTGGATGCGGTTGTGGTGTCGAACAGCAATTCTCGGACAGGGGATGTCAGGTGGTAGTAGGAGCCGGTGTCGGGGATGGTGTTGAAGCTTCTTACCAAATTTGCAGATAAGGTCGTGGTGATGGTCAGTGATGACAGTGTGTGTGTGTGTGTGTGTGTGTGTGTGTGTGTGTGTGTGTGTGTGTACAGTTACCCACACTTTCACCCGTTACAGTTAATCCTCTTTGATGTGTGAACTCGTGAGCTCCTCGGAATCATTCTTCTACACTCCCCGGGTTCACACATCATAGAGAGAGATGATTGGCAATGTTAACAGTACCAGGTGGAAATGTGGGCAACTGTACATATACATATTTACACATATGAAGGCAAGGCCCTCAACCATCTCTTCTAGTCAACATCTTGTCCCTTAACATTCCTTCTCGTGACGGATTCATGTGACTCTAAGATTTACAATTCCTAAATATTCCTTATTTTATTAGTGTGACTCAATATAAAATCCACAACCCCCAAAATATTTCTTCTCATAATTCGTGTAAGACTCGCGTGACTCAGACATTAACAGGGAAGCAAGCATTATACACGGTCTCCCTCAGGTGGCGCCAGGGTACAGTGTTTATGGTCAGAGACAGCTGGTGCAGGTCGAGTAGTGTCTCGACATCCAATTAAACACCAAAATTTATGATGAGAATCTAACTTGCAGGTGGATTACGTTATTACAAGTGAAGTCTTGAAGGTAACTGATGCTCACATGTTGATTATATTATTGCAGTGGTATTGAATGAGGAGTTTGTTGCATTAAAGTTGACTAATTTACTGATTTATGAAGACTACACCTCATGTATACTGCTTAAATTATTACAATGGTGTATATATATTATGTTGCACACAGGTTGATTACATTATTGCAAAGAAATTGAGGATTTTATTGGAAACTTAAATTCAAAATGATTCTATTATAACATGGTTAATAAAACATTGTACACGCGTTAATTACACTATTTCAAACGTAATTTAGATAATATGTGAAAGTAGGTCCCAAGACTGCCCTTTAGGGCCAGTGTGGATGCAGCAGACTGTGTAATAAACCTTTGGTAAGCAAGAAGACTATGTTGCCGGTATTGCACTCGACACACCTTCGCTTCCCAAAACTGTTACATTAGGTACCTTTAAATTGAACGAGTGATCCTTAGGACGGGAGTTGAGCGTTGTATCCACTCGGCCACCTCCTCCCTAAGCATATAATCTAAGCTAGAGATGTTGTATTAATGCTCAGGAATGTATTTAAGCGACAAACGTAAACTAGATGGATACTTGAGGCCTTATCGTGGAAGGGAACACCAGGCCGGAACATTTGTTACAGCAGTAGGTATAAAAGACTTTAAAACTGAATGAAAGAAGAGTCACTGTTTTGACCTTGGCGCTGTTGTGATGGAGAATGGTGGTATTGGGTGAAAGGGACCAAATATTACACAGAGCCTGATTACATTATTGCGACTCTAATCTATGATGAATATGTTACATACAACTTGATTACATTATTACAAGTGCAATCTATAATTAAAATATTGCACGCAAAGTAATTACATTATTGCAATAACATTCACTAATAAAACACTACATGCACCTTAATTACATTATCAATAGTGCAATCTATGATGAAAATTTTACACAACCACCTGATTACATTATTGCAATAGAAATTAATGGTGGATATGTTGCATACAACTTGATTACATTATTAAAATTGTAACAACTGCAATTCATTCGGGTTCTCTATCATCGTGATCTGCATATATGTTGACTTTGTGTATAACATGTGGCCTCGTCATCAGTTCACTTCACTAATTTACATAAATGATGAGGTTTTTCGTGTGTAAGCTTAACAAAACTATTCCCGAGTGGATGTATAACGGTGGGGAGGACAGGAGACGTGCTATTCAATGGCCCACAAAAGTCCTGTCGCCTCTCCTCCTGAACCACGAACCCCAAGATTCAGACTCATGAATCCGAAGCATTTATGGACAAAATACTGCATCAGTATCTATTGCTTTAGGTTCACGAGTCTGAATCTCGGGGTTCGTGGTTCAGGAGGAGAGGCGACAGGAGTTTTGTGGGTGACTGTACATTCAACATCATATTTTACTCTCTACCCCGAACAGATTTGCATTTTATGTATTAAAACAAACAATTTAGCAAAATGTCTCTAAAAATAAACACAAACCATTAGGGTGTAGCATAAAAAACCTTTACCAATGTATATATATATATAATCATCCTTGACGAGAACTTATCCATTACCAGTAAAAAAAATATTATTACAGCGTACTAAGAATAATTTTCAAGATTTCAAATCCCCCTTAACTACCCGCGTCACCTCATTTGCATATCATAATTATCAAACCATTCTGAACCGTATGTAGTTCTAGCATTGTGAAAGGACTCAGGAATATGTAGAAGAAATGATGAAGTCTTACACTAATAAATTCTCACAATTTTGCATCTAGATGTCAGGATGTACTCACAGTTTTAACCTCTGTGATAGACAGGCTTGGGACTCTGGTTAGCCCGACGGGTGGGAGGGGGAGGGGGGGTGTTGTGTACATGTGGGGTACTCTCGTTCATGGGGTGGACCAACTATGTCTTTTGATTTACGTACTATATAACATTGTAACTTCGTCTCGAACACTTTAAAAACCCTGAACCTTAAACCACACGAGAGAACTTAAAACACTTAGGCTTTAATACACGCTATTTACTTCTTGCCTTCTACTGGACCTGACCCACCGATGTACTTTGTCTCTCAGCTGACCAAAACACCCACCCGCTCACTCACATCAACACCCAGGTACTCCCCCAGCCACACCTCGCTCTGTTGCCTTGTATATTAACTTCACGCGCCGAGACTCAAGGAGACGTTAACGACAATAGATTAATGGATAATTTTACATATTTACCAATCAAATGACCCGACACTTCAATCATATTTATCAATAATAGTTAATGATAATTTATAACACAAAAACAACTAAATATAATAGACAAGAAAAAATGAAATAGAAGCTGGTTAAAATTCACCACCATGACTCAGGTCTTCAGGTGACAGGTATAAACAAACACACAATAATCTTCAACATATCTCGTCATGCGTGAGACTCTTGGCCCACTACAGTCCTTATTGCCTCAACTTGCTCCACCACTTGGGAAATATCGCATGTGCTTAAGTTGGTAGGGAGGGGGAGAGGGAGGGGCGATACTTTTCTTGATATTCCTCTCACATAGCGTAGTCTTCTCTTCTAGTCTACTCTCTCAAGTAATCTTTTTCTGTCTGGGAGAGTTACTCCTGTGTCTCTTAACTCTCAGATTTTATTTTTTATAATCGACAACTTAAGATAAAAGTGATAAAAAGTTGAAGGTAATTTAGTTTTCATGGGAATTATTTCAGGTGGTGAGGAAGGCGTGGAGGGCGCTTCATCCTGGCCTCTAGCTGCTGCAGGAAGTGTGGTGGTGCATGTGTGACCTCCAGAAACTGGCCTCTTCTATCTGCTGTAGGAGGGCATTTAGGGTGGCGTGTGAGGTGTGAGCGTGGCCTCCAGAAGCTGGAGGGGAGCGTGGTGGCAGCGTGCAGCCCGACGCTTTAGTGTGGCCTCCACACCCTGACCTCTATCTGCTACAGGAAGGCGTGGTGGCGTGCAGTCTGATCTTTGACTGTGTCCTCCAGACCCTGAGCTTTAGTTGCTGTAGGAGGGCGTGGTGACGTATGTGGCCTCCAGGTCCAGACCTCTAGTTGCTGTAGTGGGGCGTGGTGGCGTGTTTGACCTCCAGAACCGGGTCATTAGCAGGATGAGGTTGGATCTCTGGGCGGCTGTGGCTCTCCGCCTCCTGCTCTTCACAAGTCTCGCTGCTAAGAGTAAGTCCGGCAAACTGTACACTGATACAAGCACTGATAAGAGGGGGTCAATGTAGAGTCGCCGGCACTTACACCTGGTACAGTGACTGGTGCGTTTGGTGAGATGTGGCAACTCTGTCAGATGCTTATCTAATATCCTTAGTCTGGCTGCTATTGCGAGGTTCCTTAAGGCCATTCTTGGACTTTTAATACAATGTAAATAAACACAGAGATGCCACATTTCACAAAACACACCAGTCACTGTACCAGCCATAAATGCAGGCAAATGTACATGACCACCTTTAATTTAACACTGAGAAGCACAATTGATTTAAAGGTATGGATTTTTTTTTTGCTTATATAAATATCAGTTTCTATGTTAAGCAAATGTTCAGTTTAATTCTGCCATTTTTCATTCTATATTTTTAGACTCAATCTTCACACTCTACGTTATATTATATCATAGAATACAAATCCTTCCACTACCATACATGTGTTATGGGCATGTCTCACCACCTCTCACTCACTATCTCTCACTATCTCTCACCATCTCTCACTCACCATCTCTCACCATCTCTCACTCACCATCTCTCACCATCTCTCTCTCACCCTCTCTCACCCGCAGGTTGTACACTAAGGGTGTCAGGAGTGTTAGTACCGCCTGTAGTAGTGTCGGGAACAACGGTTGAGTTAGAGTGTAATTATCACCACAGCCTCGACAGACCCGACCCGCTCTACTCGGTCAAGTGGTACCGGGACGTGAACCAGTTTTACGAGTACATCCCCAAGAGGAAGCCTCCCATAAGGGTGTTCCCGGTACCTCACATTAATGTTGACGTGAGTATTGTGTGTACCGTGTATTGTGTGTACCATGTATTGTGTGTACCATGTATTGTGTGTACCATGTATTGTGTGTACCATGTATTGTGTGTACCATGTATTATGCGTACCATCAAACATATACCATGAACCATTTATTACAAATTATGAGTCATGAGTCGTGAGTGCAGCAAGGAATTAATAAGCTAATTTATCTGCCGCAGGAGAGCCACAGCACGCGGGAGAAGGTGCGGCTGACGGGGGTGACGAGGGAGACCTCTGGCAGCTTCAGGTGTGAGGTGATGGGCGACAAACCTTTCTTCGAGACGGACGACCATACTGTAAACATGACGGTGGTGGGTAAGTTGACGGTGAGGGAGAGAGAGAGAGAGAGAGAGAGAGAGAGAGAGAGAGAGAGAGAGAGAGAGACAGAGAGAGAGAGAGAGAGACAGAGAGAGAGAGAGACAGAGAGAGAGAGAGAGTGTGTTTTAGGGAATATTTCAAGGGATCAGTTTTGGTTCAATATTATTTGTTGACACTAATAAACCTAACCTAATTAACACTAACTTTACTTAACATTAACCTCACTTAAACTAACCTAATCTAACAATAATACTGGCTTCATATTAGGGGACTCGAAACTCTAGACTTTCCAAACAAGACAGAACCGAACCAATGAACCCAAGATATGAAAGAGTTGTCTGGCATTTTCATATGAATTCGAATCCTTATCATAAGAGCACAATTGACTCACTTTGCATTCTTCTCTTTCCTTTCCCACCCTTCTACGCCTTCTTTCCCTCCCTTCCCCTTCTTTCCCTCCCTTTACACTCCCTTTTCTCCCATTACCTCCCTTTCCCTTCCCATTCTTTCCCTCCCCTTACCCTCCTTCTCCTTTTTTCCCTTCCCTTATCCTTCTTTCCCTCCGTTTATCCCCTCTCCCCCTTCCCTTCTTTCCCTACCCTTCCCCTTCCTTCCCCTCCCTTCCCTTCTCTCCCTCTCCTTCCCCTCCCATCCCTCCCTTCTCACCCTTCCCCTCCAGACGTGCCGTTGTGGGGACCAGAGGTGTGGGGTGTGGCCCAGGGAGACAAGGTCCGGCCCGGGGAACATCTGGTGGCCCGCTGTCAGGTTGGTGACTCTGACCCCCCGGCGGAGATCAGCTGGACCGTCAACTCAGAGGCGGCGCCCACCTTCGCCCACCTGCCTCGCTCCCTCGGGCGGGACCAGAGAGGACGACCACTACAAGTCTCCGTAAGTCATGTTCGTCGTCTCTGTTAAGTCAATAAGTCATCCAAGTCTCTCTATAAGTCATGACTGATTGTCAAAGTATGTAAGTCTCTCTTATTCTCTTATTGGTGCCTCAGTCACGTCTCTTTAAATGTCTTTCTCTATTTTAATATTTATTTTTTACTTTTTCCTTCTTCCCACCTACTTTCACCTCTTTCTTTTCGCCTTTTGAAAATTTTTTTCTTTATTTCCCCCACCTCCCCCCCCTCTCTCTCTCTCTCTCCCTCGGATGACATGAGTAACACACCGTACAGTTACTCACTCGCAAGTCTACGGACTTAGCGCATCCACATTCAACCACCTCCTCCTGTCACAGTCGATGTGGGAGGTAGACTATGTTACTCACCTCCTTCCCGTCACAGGAGCTGCGGGTGACGGTGACGGAGGAGTGGCTGGCTCGAGGGGCCGTGACGCTGGGCTGTCAGGTGACGGTGTCCTCAGTCTACCACAAGTCAGTCAACGTGACGCTCTTCGACGCTGACTGGCCACAACCAGCTGAGTTTGGCTGGTTCTCCTCAGGTGAGTCAACCTTCTGCTCACCTCGAACTCACCTGCCGCTTATAGGGTCACCTGGATGTTACCTGCCTCTTAATGAGATATTTACTTGTGGTCCCTGGTCACCATGGATTCAAAAGGAGCCATAACCTTACCATATGTGGAAAGAAAAACAATGCCCACAGTGCTCATCATCCATAGATTAAGTTTCATTGAAAGTTGTTTATATTTGTTCAAGTTAACGCTTTTACAACATACCCGAGTGGAAGGACGCACACACACACGCACACACACACACACACACACACACACACACACACACGCACACACGTCATTAGTTATTACATCACCATTTTTCAATTATCTAAAAAACTATTTAATTTTCCGAGTAAACATTGACTTATATATATATATATATTAATCGTCTTCTCTTCTCATTGCTCTTGACCTCAACCCTTGTTCTCCTTCGTTGCACTGGGAGACGTTGACATATTACACTGGGGAACACACTTTCGGTTGCATGAGTTCTGACACTTGATTCTGGTAGATTTGAGGTCACAGATTCTGAAAATGGCATTCGTTTGTGCAGATCAGGTCTAGTTTTGACTTAGTTCGAGATCTGGGTCTGTCTAATAAGCTGTCAGAATTGTTGGCTTCACGATTAAAAGATAAAAACTTGCTGAAAATAGACACAAAGGTAACATTCTTTCGCAACAGAGAAAAGAACCTCTTACAGTTCTTTGATTCTAAATTTGACTTCGTCTACTGTTGTGATATTTCTGGATTAGTCACCGCGATGGGAGCTCCAGGTTATGATCCGAAAGAGTGGCGCCTCTTTATAGATAGCTCTAAGCGGAGTCTGAAGTGTGTTTTATTACATATAGGCAACATCTTTGGCGCAATACCCATAGGACACTCAGTACACCTGAAAGAAAAATATGAACACATCAAAACGGTTTTGGAGCTACTCAAATATGAAGAACACAAATGGATCATCTGTGTTGATCTAAAAATGGTCAATTTTTTGCTAGGACAGCAAGGTGGGTATACAAAATTTCCTTGCTATATCTGCCTCTGGGACAGCAGAGCCAAAGACAGACACTGGATTCAGAAGGAATGGCCTGTTAGGGAAAGCCTCAATGTTGGGGAAAAGAACATCATTTATGAACCCCTAGTGGAACGTGAAAAACTTGTTTTCCCGCCCCTTCACATCAAGCTGGGCCTTATGAAACAGTTTGTCAAGGCGCTCGATACTGACAGTGACTGTTTTAAGTATCTGTGTGAAGTGTTCCCTGGTTTAACGCTAGAAAAACTCAAAGCAGGTATTTTCGACGGCCCTCAAATTAGGACGCTGATTAAAGACGAAGCCTTCACTCAATCCATGATGATGTTGAGAGAAATGCATGGGGAGCATTCGTTTCTGTTGTAAGGAACTTTCTTGGAAACAAGAAATCAGAGGACTATAAAAAGCTCTTTGAATCTTTGATGGAAAGTTTCCATGTGTTAGGTTTCAACATGAGCATTAAGATGCATTTCCTGAACAGTCATCTTGAACTGTTTCCGGCAAACTTGGGGGACGTGAGTGATGAGCAAGGTGAACGCTTTCACCAGGATATCAAAGTCATGGAAGACAGGTATCAAGGTTGCTGGGACAGTCCATTAAACGCAAGTTTGTGCCTGAATAAATCTGGCATAGTTCACAAAAGCAACTGATGAATCCAAAATATGCTTGTCAAGGTAAATAAAAGTAATTAAAAATTAATTCTACGTGTTTGGTAATTCCTCTCTGTGTGCTGGTTTAGATTTTTAGCAGTAGTATATGGTAGTCTAACTATATATAGTAGTAAATGGTAGGTAACTCACCGCAACAAAACTAAACCCGATAGAAAAAAACCGGTGCCATATTTGAAATCAGTGACCTCAATTTACCCAGAAACAGGTTTCAAAATGTATGCAACTGACAAAAAGTTTAATTTTGTTCCCCAGTGTTATCAGTCCGTCCGTCCGTCCGTCAGGGTATGCTATACAAGTGATAACTTATGACAATAGAAATGAACTTTGATGAAACTTAGCTCACAGATGTAACCCAAGAACGTGTCAGAAGAGTTAAAGTCTCAGTTTGTCTTTGTGGTGATAGAGAACTTAAATCCCTCCCAGGTAACTTGTTTTTCCTTATTTTATCATCTGTTTTCAATTTATTATCTTCCTCATCTAGTCATATATTACCTCTATTCCTATAGTATTCAAGACCTTTTCTCTCCTTCACCACACAACATATATCTTCCTTGGCTATCCATCTCTATCCCTCATCCTTTCTTCCTTAACCTCCTTCTTAACTTTCCTCACAACTTTCTTCTTCTCACTTTAACTGATTTTCTCTCCTTTACAAAACTTCCCCTGATTTAACTTTCCCTCTATTTGCTTTTCGTACAAGGTAGAAAATTTTGTTTAGAGAACCACCACAGTATTTTGTTCAGTCAAAAAACTATCTCTACTTGGGGTGAGCGATGAGTCTCAGAATGAACACTACGAATCCTGTTGTCTCGGTAGGGTTGTCAAAATCCTTCAGCCGTTGTGTCATATTTTTCAACAAAATTTTGCCTAGATAGTTATTTTGAGTGACTGTACCTGGTGCTATTGTTTCTTCTTCTTACCTGCAATTATTTTTATGATAGATTTATTTATCAGATATTCCATTTTTTATGAGGTTGAACACGTTTTCTTTTTGTTTTCTTTTTGTTTTGTGTGTCAGTCAGTTTGTGTGTTTTGTTTTTCCTCGTAACGTGCAACACTTGTGGTATAAAGTATCAAGATGTGATGTCTTTTGTGTGTTGTTTTCATAGTGTTGTCCCCTAAAGGCCTCCCCAAAGTCGTGTTTGATCGTGAGTGTCGCTCCGTCATCGTCCAATAAACAAACATTATCACCCAACCTTGATCGACGGGACCAGCTGCCACACGATGGTCCGTCTCACCAGCCTCTCTATCATTAACGACAACCTTATTTAGTGTTTTTCGGGTTTCATAAATGTGATGGGTTTGAAACTATCCGTCAAGTCCTTCGTTTATATCTTGGGCTTCACCTCGATAATCCTTCTTGAACGAGTGAAACGATTGATTATCTTTAAGTGTCGTAGGATATATATATATTTTTTAAATGTTCGTGGATATATAATGTGCTCGAATTAACTGAACACATAAGAGAGAAGATGCTAAGAAATAACAATAAACAAGAGACTCACCAAGCCTTAACAACCACCTGACGAGGCTGACGACGAAAAAGGAAAACCTAAAAATGATTGCAAGTGTTCCTCTGTGCAGCGCCTCCTCTGTGCCCAGCATTCCTTTCTGTGTTAAATGATTGGAAAATGGTTGCCAATTTCTCTCAAAAACTCCCCATGGTGCAATGTTTAGCTAATTGTACGAGTCGTTTTCGTCGGTTCATTAGGAGATAATTACAGCTGAGGGAGGGGAGGGAAGGAGGGGGAGGTGAGGGTGAGGGATGGGAGGGAAGGAGGGGGAGGTGAGGGTACACGTGTGCATAATGGTGTACTTGACTCGGATAAAACTTGGATTATTGCAGAGTTATAAAACAGTGAGGTTGGCAGGTCGTGTGGAAGCCGCTGTCCTGCTTCACCTCACTCCAAGTTGACCCACGGACTGGTCGGTCACAGTCCGAGTACACCAGTCCCATTCCTAATACTTCCCAAGCTCACCTATGCCTCCCCCACCTGGTCTTCCTCCCTAAATGCCACACAACGTAAACACCTAGAAAAAGTGCAAAAGTGCATGCAAAATTATTCTCTCCTCCTCCTACTCCACATATCAAGAAGCGCTCAACACACTGACCCTTTCGACTCTCACTGACCATCACCACGACCTTATCTGCAAATTTGGTAAAGCTACACCATCCCCGACACCGGCTCCTACTACCACCTGACATCCCTGTCCGAAATTGCTGTTCGACACCACAACCGCATCCAGCCCATACGTGCAGACGATCGCTATAAGAACAGCCCAGTCCCAACCATTGTAAAATTATCAATAACATGTAATAAATCAGGTATTCACTCCCAGTTAACACTGCTCCCTACACTGTCACTATGTTGAAATGAACTGTAGTTTGAGCTGATCCCCCATCTAAGTTATTATATATGTCTTACTTGTGTCACTTATGTTACTTGTATATTATTTGTAACTCGTAACCCATTCCCCAAATATGTAACTGTATATTTTCAGCCTTCTGGCTTAAGCTCTTTCAATAAACCGTTAATTATTATTATTATTATTATTATTAATAGGCCCAGTAACAATAGGCCCCAGTACTAATAGGACCTAGCATTAATAAGCCCCAGTACTAATAGGACCTAGCATTAATAAGCCAAAGCACCAGTAGGCCCCGGTACCAATAGGCCACAATCGAAGCAAAATTCACTTTAGTTTCAGTAACTCGCCACCTGTTCCCCTTGCTTACTGAGGAAGGAAAACGATCATCTGAGGTCAACTGGTCAACATAGTCTCATTGTTTAAGATAAGATCATTGTTAAATAAATTAAAAGTCCCCAAGTGAATACCGTTCTTAAATTTGCATCTAAACATATCTGAAGAAGAATTAAATAAAGAAAGAGGGGAGAGATTTTACAATTATTACGACACAGTTTTAATAATTCATAATAAATCTCGTCAGAAAAAATTAAAAAGTTCTTTCAGAGATTTGATTCACATTAGGGCGTCTCTCACGGTCTGTGGTCACCCTGAAACCCTCGCTAGGAACTGAGAGAACTTCCACAAGTTGATGAAGGAAGCTCTCTCTCTATAGTTAAAAATAAACAGCGTTTTCTGTATCGTACCCTTGGTGATGTGTGTGCTTGTGTGTGTGTGTGTGTGTGTGTGTGTGTGTGTGTGTGTGTGTGTGTGTGTGTGTGACAGACATACAGCTGACTCACACACATACGGCTGACTTGGTCATATTGTTGGAGTGTTAATTGAACTTTTGTGAAGATAAAGTGGGCGAGAACCTCACCTGTGACTCAGGTAAAACACCTTCGTCTACACACCTGTGAAGATGGTAATTAGTTCTCCGTCTTCTTCCTTCCTCAACAGGTTCATCACCCAGCTCTCCTTGTTCCTGTCGCTGTCCTGCTGCTACTACTGCTGCCTGCTGGGACGCTGTGACACCCCTGCTGTGACACGCCTGCTGTGACGCTGTGCACGCTGCTGTGACGTTCTGACTCCTCCTGATACGTTTCTTCTGTTTACTGAGGCCCCGTATTGACGATCTTCCGTTGCTGT